CTATGTCTTATAGAACTTATTTTGTTTCAAAAGGTATCTGGATTGCGGTTCAATCTTATACAGCTCAAAGTACAGACGAAGTCAGCTACAAGAAAGGCGATGAAATGGAAGTAATAGCAACAAGTAATATTGGATGGTGGAAAGTTCGGTGAGTCATTTTTTTATATGTAAAATATAAAAAAATCCTAGCTTTGATTGATAAACAAGGCATATTTGTTGTTACTGATTAGGTTCATAGAACAAGTACCTCGAGGCCATGATATTTAGCCATTATTTAGGATATGACAATATTTTTGATTAATCAGGTAACAATATCAAATCTTTATCTTTATATCATCTAACTTGGCTAATCAGCGTAAATCGCTAAACTGATTAAAGTTTTCGAGTTTAATTCATTTTGGCGGTCACCTGTCAAAAATGAAATGAAATTTAGGTGGAAAATAAGATATTTGGTATATTATTAATATCAAAAGTAATCTAAAATATTGTTTTTTCTTGGTTCTATTTGATTGGCATGGCGGCYTGAAGGTACTTTTTAACGCTCTTTCTGATTGGCTGGAGCATTTTTTTTTCTTTTCAAAGTATTGTGCTTACGAGTTGTACAATTTTTTCGTTGCTTTGTTTTTCAGATGTCATGGAAAAGTTGCCGTGACACCCGCTTCTAATCTGATACCAAAACCAACACAAAACGACTCAGTGTTTGATAATCCTGTTTATGATGATGGGCCSATTCGAAGAGTAAGTTGATAACTTAACTAGTGCGTGTTCTCACAAGCCTTTGTTGACCTAGGCAGCTTTCCCTATTATATTGTAGAAGATTATTATTCAACAGCAAGTTATCCAAGGCTCTCATTGGCGGGGAGTAGACCACGTGAGCCGATAATGCTCGCCACGGAGGGGTAGTGTGAGGGCTTATAATTCAACAATAAATTTCCCTCCGCTCTCGTTGGTGGAAAGTAGACCACGTGACGCGATACTGCTCGGCACGGAGGGCTTCTATCAGTACATAGAACACGCCGCTTCAGAAACGTTTGTTGCTGAATAATAAGAACAATAGAGCAGTTCAGATCTCGGGCATTAAGCCGCTGTGTTAGTTGCCCTTGGAACATCCAGTTTTTCGGTTTTCAAGTCGGTTTTTAGTCGGTTTTCAAGTTTTCGCGGGCAACTATCACAGCATAATGGGCACGATTCAACTACTCTAGATATTGGCTTCATATTMAATTTGTGCTTTTAACTTTAGCTATCTTTTACATCCAGCGCGGGGAATTTTATTGCTTTGGTGATATAATATATATTTAGTCTGTCAGCGTAAGCTGTTTGCAGCGACGCCATTATTGTATGGTGGAAATGCAGTCCTCGGGCTTCCCATCTTTAAACGAATTTGTCAGTGTTCCTACTTATTTATATGTTTTTGGAACAAGTATTTGTATACTTTTAGAGGGCTTCGTTCACTGGTATGGGTACTATTTATGCCAGTATAAGAAACCCACCACCCAGAAGGTAAGCTAASAAAACATCGGTACTGGATATATTCACCGAATCAAAGCAGATAATCAATATACAGATAAAAGGGAAGGGGGGAGCTAGCGACCGCCGAAGGTGGGAGTGTTCAGGGGTATAAGGAAATTTTTAAATAATAACTTTTTGAAATGTGATTTCCAGCGTTTTGAGGGGCATCGAGAATATATAAAAGGCACCAAATTTATGTGAATGTTTAATCCTTGGTGCGAGAAAGCAAGACAATTATATAAATAAATGGATGACGATAACATAGCATTCCTCCTCATTWGTTTCACTCGTTCAGTCATCCATTACGGCAATATAATAGCTTTGTTCTTTAATTTTCGAGGGATTTTTGATCATGTGGTTGAARCCCTAGAGTGCCATTTTATCCGACAACCTTTTTTGAAATAGRGATATGTGTGGGGTGCCCAGAGCTAGTAGCAGGGCTATTTGTGTAAAACATCCATGTCACCCTAGCAGGACTTAATTGTTTATTTATATGTGTTTTCTGTTAATCATTGATCATTTTATGAAATATTTTGATAAACAGAGACTCAAGCAAGAAAAAGATACCATTGCCTAATGAGCCAGGTAAGGATTATTTTCTCTTTTACCTCACATCCCTCACACAGAATCCCAATAGCTGGGCAATAAGGAAAATAAAGTTAAAGTTAAAGGTTAAGAACATGCATAGAAGATCAGGGCTCGTGACAAACACCTGTAAACTTCTTTTTTCTTTATTTATTAATGAATTATAGCGTAGAATCCTTGTTACTGTATTGAATTATAAGGCATTATATAAATGCCTGCAGTTTGTTTTATCCTGATAGCTCTAGGGTTACTTACGTATATTACCCTCAAACACGCTCTGTTCCTACTGACGCGCAAAAGCGTTTGTCCCGTGGCCTAAATACGGGAGGAACCCTAATTTTTATCTCGTTTAGCATTGAAATCAGTAGAGCATGATTTGGGACTCTAGGCCACTATCTGTAACTTCTATYCATAYTGTTTTCTCTGTCATTATGTTTTCAGTTAAGGATGCTACGCTAGCGTACGCTTCTGTTTATGTCACGAAGGATGAATTCCTGTCGTCACGTCCACAGAACGATGTACAAGAGACAAGGTACAGTTTTCACGTGTCTGCCGCTGATCTATTGAGCTGGAAGATGATAAGTCGATAAATGTGTTGTGTTTTTTTCCAGTAATGAAGAAGAAGATATCTACTCGAAAATTATTCCTAAACACCTCAGGTACGTTTTAAATTTAATATTGTCTTTCATCGTTGGTCGCAAATTCGTTTGGCTATTTCTTTTTGCTTAGTTTTATTATTTTATCTTTTTATTATTTATTTATTCTTTGCTGTGCTGTGCTGTTGTATTCAGTTGTAATCTGTACGCTGTGTTCGTGTTGTTTCTTTAATTATTATTTAAATTGTTCGTGCGCGTCTACTTTTTAGATCTCCAAGAAGTCCTAAACACCGAAAGAACAAGGTATGGCAAAAAAGGAGTATTTCCACGTGGGTGTTTTATTCAGAGAAGAATCACGTGTTGTCATTTAWTATCACACCCCTCACACCCCTGGCATTCCATTACTCCATCACCTACCTCATTATTGTGCGCCATTCTGAGTTGTTGATGTAAGTCTCTTCGGGAATCTATTCTTGTTCCCAGYGTGCAGGCTTTGAAATATCAAATTTATCACCACGCATGCGTGAAAGAAAATACGGTGTTTGGGAACGAGAGAMCTCCCACTAACATTATAATGGTRCGTGCTCAATTAGATTGATGACATTTACGAGGAAGTCCATGATGAAGGCCCACCGCCTATTCCAGTATGCTTTGTCGATGAAACAGCAACGTTAGCCAGAAGAAAAGATGAGGAAGCTGAAAATCAGCCTCAAAGAAGAAAATCCGCCGATGAACTGAACTCTACCAATACAAAAACACATGGTTATTTGAATGTTGTACAAGCAGATGAAGCTCAGAAAGGAGTGAGTTCTGTTGTGTTTAGTCTTGTTGCATTAAATGAAGAGCCAATCTCCCATGGCTTAGCAGTGGCTGATCCAACCTGTTTGATATTCTCCCCCATTTTTTCCTTTTTGTGACAATAGTTCTCTTCTTGGTTCCTTGCGTCATCTTRAAACATAACTCGTTATATCGAAGGAGGCGCAATGATAGACACCTATGAATAATTGTCTATGCGTGTGAATTAAGATTTCTATTAATGCACGCTCACCGGTCGATGCAAAGGGACGGTACGTTACATTTCAAGATGGCGAAGCAAACATGAAGGAGACTATTTGTGGGTGACCCCGAAAAACATTGATGCAACCCTGGTTATTGCATTTTATCGGTATATAACGCTATTGTTTTGCTGCTGGGTTTTTTCATTGTTGTTGGTATTGTTGTTGTTGTTGTTGAAAGAGCATGCGTGATGACGTTCTTAACGTATTGTTGCATAGTGAAGCCTTTATGAAWCCATTGACCGTGATCTTTCAAACCATCGCGTCAGTTTACACGCGCATCGTTTGCTTCTGTATTCACGAACGTTTCTCATACTAACAATTCTATATGATAGACCAACTTGTACCGAGCTGTTACCGAGTACCAGGTCCCAATGGATCGTCACGATGACCTGCCCCTCCCTGCTGGGTGCATAGTAAGAGCGCTRACTAAGGACGGTACTTTCTTCTTTGTATCAACACTCGATGAACCTCCCAARCAGGGATGGGTACCGGAAGACATCTTGGAAAATGTGCACGCTAAAACTAATAGTGGTAAGTTGTATTTGAGGTTATAGTCTCCTCCACAGCCATCACTAGTGGACCTTCTGTAAAGGAGAATGGGAGTGAGATTAGGGAGGCTTCTACTCGTCACTAGGTTTCGGCGGTCAATATGATCGTTACAAAGGAAGCCCGAAGGAGGCAAGGGATGTAGGTTGGTTTACGAAAATTGCTGGTATGAACTAATGGTTTGTGGATAATCGATCCCATGGGCCTTTAAATGTGTTCGAATAGTTTTGGTGCTCCATTCAGCAACATCAAACAGGGTACCCGTTGACAATGCTAGCTCGACCTACGGCTACCGCRCTACTTCGCACCTTGGCTACTCCTTAATTATATTGATTAATATCAATCCATAGGTCATCGCAGATCACGATCGCTTGGTGACATTTTAGCAGAACCTCTTCAGTCACAGCCTGATGTTAGCGTTACTATTAATATACAAGAACTTCACCATCGGACGCCCGTAGTAGCACCTCGTCAAGATAGAACGCGACGATATTTCTCGTTTGATGCTACAGCCAACTCAAAGGATGATCACCATGTCGACACACAGAATGTTTATCGTGGTGACCAGGAAATGGCCTCTGAAATACAATCTCTAAAAATATCCACTTTGAAAGGTACTGATTGCTAACATACTTACTGGAAATACAGTAGTGGATACTCTTAATTAATTCTTTACAGTCCCCATGCTGCATCATCTTGAGACGTAGCCAAGCCATTACTTCAAACTGAAACGCAGTGGTTGAGCTTGCGGAGATAAATAACTAGGAATAATTATCTTAGGTCTGAACAAAGGAATCGATCACGCAAGCTCATTCCGCGTCTCACTACCAAACAAAGGCTCGGCTACTTTTCAAGATGGCGGCAATAGTACACTCACATTGTCTTGACGAAAGATTGATTAATAACTAAAACTGAGTCCTATACTATCAATACACAGGCTGTCACATAGTAGCACTTACTTAAACAAATTCTCATTCATGTCTATTGTTCGTTCAACTTGCTTAACCATCCACCTTTTGCTTTCTGGATCCCATAAACTTGAAATTAAAAGTTTTACGCTTTCTTTGTGATATCTTTCAGAGACAGAAACCTGGTTTCACGGGAAGATGAATCGACAATCCTGTGAGGAACACATGCTACGGGTAAGTTGTCATGAAATAACTCACGTAACGCTACATGCACTTGAACAAGTTAGACAAGGGAAAAATATAATATATTTTCAAATTCCCATACCGGGAGTCGAACCCGGGCCGCCTGGGTGAAAGCCATGGAATCCTAACCGCTAGACCATATGGGAAGATGTGATTGAATTGAAATAACTGATGTAACTATATATGCACTTGAACAAGTTTGACAAGGGAAAAATATAAAATGATTTCAAATTCCCATACCGGGAGTCGAACCCGGGCCGCCTGGGTGAAAGCCA